CTCGAGACATTTATCACCACGCCACATTTCCACAAGTGCCTTTGGATCGCAGATCAGATGTGAATTCCTCATATAGCATTATTTGGGGAGATTGTCGATGAAGTACAGTTTTTTTTGCTATAACGATCGACTACATTACTTTGGATGAAAGCTCCTTTTGGAAAAGCATCACTATGTGAACTTAAATGAAACTATCAGCTCTACTCATATCATTGTGGGAAAATTCAGCTACTACTCTTTAGTAACCCTAAATGAACTAGGGTGAATACATAGCATATTTACCTAAAATCACATAAGGGGAACTTGCTCAAGGCATGACGACATTGTCATCCACTATTTTTCAATAACCTTCTTTTAATTTAGGCTGAGCAAATGTTTTCAGATAATTTTTTTCTCTTAACTTGAAAAATATGCTATACCAAATATGTAGCTGAATCAAAATGAGTAAGCTTTTGATGATCAAAGAAGCTCTATTATTGCTTGGTACTCACAAGTACTGGTTTCAGCTTTTAATCTGCCGTTCAGCAGCCGTTCTTTCTTCACGACGTTGCGAGAAATTTTTCAGTCATGGTTTCTTGCGAGCTGTCTACAAATATTGAGAGCAGTTCAAAATAATTTACAAACTCCAAGACACTTGCAATTTTTGGTTTGATCTTATATATTCACACACAATGGCCTTAAAATGCAACAAGCTTAGCCTGAATATTTTAATAACAGGAATTAATTCAATACGATTAAGGATCAGAAATTATTTTTGAGTTTTGCGGCTTTACAATTTGGCCTTAATAGTAGATCTATTTCCGTAAGAGGCTCTTTATAAAATCACTAAGAATCAGCATTATATATATATAACTCTCTATAGAGGACAATCATGTCATGGAATATGTTGATATTTTCTCTCACCTCGTAATGGGGTTGTTGAGAAATGCCAACACAGAACTCATTAGGCTCCAAATCCTTGTTTTATTTTGTAAATATACCTGCTTTGCCATATATGCATAGTCATTGCTGTTGATCAATTGAGTTTATATGTAATTTTGCAATTCTACAACTTACGACCGAACAAGTTTTCTCGATCTTAGGTCACTAATGTGGGATAATTTATGATTACTAATCAATGCATCCATCCCTTTAATCCACTGGATTTGTGTACTGCAATGCCTAATTTCCTGTTTTCACAAACAGCCTGACAGTCCTCTCGTCCAAGACTGGCTCGAGGATGCCTGGGATACGGAGGAGAGTTTGAATGATGGAAGTGAGTTGTCACGGCGAGAATTGTCTATTGCAGGCAGCACGGGTGGCGGGAAGACGTCCAAAGTGCTTCGGCAGGGGGAAAAATTTACAAAGCGCCAGTTGACAGCAGGCCGTATACAGTAAGTTAGTGTATGACG